GTATGCTAGTTTTAAGCATGCACCGTCCTTCTCTTACAAAACTCAAGATCACTTTTTCATTTTTTGAATGCTTAGTCATTGCTCTCCATGTCTGATAAAAGTTTTTATATCAAACGGTTAGGTAAGGATATGTTTTCATGAGCCTATGAGAGCGTATGCAGGGTTTGCGTAATGCATGGCATAAGTGTGTGCTGGTGTTCAGTCAAACACTAATGCAGTCAGTGCAGATCTCAGAGGCTCTGGCTCAGATCTCCTTCATGTGCCTGCTGTTGTTTTTGGCTCCTATTAGCTTCTGTTAAGATGTGTGCGCACCCATAAGAAAAGCCATTGCATTCATCTGACCCTAAATCATAAAAAAAGAGTACTTTTTATGTATTTATCAAGGATGCATTAAACTGTTTAAAAGTGTCAGTAAGACATTTATAATGTTACAAAATATTTTTATTTCAAACAAATGTTTTTCTTTTGAACTTACTAAAAAATCAAAAAATTAACTTTTTATTTCACAATTCAGAATTTTCCTGTCAATCCTGACTTTATCACTCTCAACCGTGAGAAAAAAGAATTGAGATCGTAAGACATAAACAAATAGTTGCAGGAAATAAATGCTGAAATTATAAGATATAATTGAATTGCCAGAAGTAAAAGCAGAATTATTCATATGCACAATTGCGAGTTATAAACAATAGCGAGATATAAACACTACATTTCAGGATATAAACAATTGCAAGATATAAACACTGAATTGCGAAATACAAATGAAGAATTGCGAGATATAAACAAAGAATTGCAAAAATAAATAAATGCAGAATTGTGGGATATAAATAAAGAATTGGAAGATAAACGCAGAATTGTAAGATATAAAAGCTGAATTGTGAAATATAAACAAAGAATTGCAACAAATAAATGCAGAATTGAGAGATAGACAACTGTGTGATATAAACAATGAACTGTGACATATAAACAAAGAATTGTGAGATATAAACAAAGAATTCTTGAGATATAAACTCGCAATTGCCAGAAAAAGGCAGAACTGTGAGAACTACCAAAAGAAAGTCAGAATTCTGAATTTCTATATCATAGTTCTAACATTTTCCTCAGAATTGTGAGATAAAAAGTTACAATTAACGGTTTTATTCATTCATTTATTTTATTTTTTTAATTCTGTGTCAGAAACAAGCTTCCATAAAAATAAAAAAACACGTTTAATCGTAATAAGATTTCAAAATATTACTGTATTTTTGATCAAATAAATGCAGCCTCGGTGAGCAGACGAGGCTAAAAACCTTTACAAACCCCAAACCTCTGAACATATAAAACGTATTAGTGAATACAGAAATGTAGAGTGAACACAAACCTTAAAACTACCAATGCATGAAAAAAACCCAAATATATTTAACTTACAGATTCTCTTTATTTAAAAGTGGAGGGTGTAGTTTGTCACCAAATGTAATTGTTTGGACAGCATAAGCTCAAGCATTTGTCAGAGTATTTAAAGAAACGCTAGCAAATCAAGAGCCCCTTCTACAGTATCGTGATTTGATGCCGGCAAAGACACAAGAAAGAGCAGCGCCCGTCCTGTTTGAGAGCTCTTCTGTCATGTCTGGCTCCTTCACTCTTCATAATAAGTTTATCTCCATCTTGAAGGCAGATGTTGTGGCTTTTACGCTTGGAGAAAGTGGCTCTGGGGTTCAGTGTTAGTGTTAGTGTTGGGGTAACGTGATCCAGGCATCCAGCTCAGCAGCTTAAGCAATCGCACGTAACTTGACTTATACAACTCAAACTAGCCTATCCTCACACAAACGTTCAACCATACATACACTTTTACTGGTTTCACATTTTAGTGGCTTAAGTGGCTCATGGATTTTGTGAGCAAAGAACATTTTAGTCCTCGATCCGAAACTAATGATGATGTGTTAATGACACTGACAACTCTAGTTGTAACTAGAGTTATTATAGTTAACTGAAACTAAACCATTAACTCTTTCCCCGCCAGCGTTTTTGACAAAAAAAGTTGCCAGCCACCGCCAGCGTTTTTGCTGATTTTCACTAAAATTTCATGGCCCCCAGAATATTTTGTTGTATTAATATCTAAACATGCAATACATCAAAATAAGTATCATACCCTCTACTTAAAAAAAAAAAAAAAATTCTAGCTTCAAGCATTGTTTTTATGAACACATGAATGTAGGTAGGTTTCATAAAAAAAGCAACATTTTGAGCAAAAAGCTGAGAAAATCGAATTTTTATCAAATACTACATCTGGATCATATTCAGTACTATTATCAAAGCAAAGATGCAGTAGATGGCTTCCATCAGCGCTCCCAAAGCTTGCACAGGCCTTTACCTCTTCCTGGATCCACATTTCATTCGCTAACATTAGGCAGTTTTCATTTATATGCTGTTAAGAGTTGATGATCGCATTATTTTTTCATATGCATATGCTTACATATGAGATCGCTTGTTTCTGCGTCTTCCTGGTCTGTGTTTTTGATCGGCGCTTTCTAGACTCATTCGGGAGATGCGTAATAGCGCCCCCTAGCATATAACAGTGAAAACACGGAAACACAGAAAATTCTGTGTTTGGCGGGGAAAGAGTTAATAAAAAAAGAAAGATTTTAAATAAACTTAAACTGAAATAAAATAGTGAACTTTTATTTTAGCTAGCATCTAATTCTTTTTTTTTTTTTTACAAAAGATTTATTTTTCAAATAAATGCTGTTCTTTTGAAATGTCTATTTTCCATGGGATAAAAATAAATACAAATAAAAAGGTAATTTACTTTTTTCCTTGCAATTCTGTGTTTATATCTCTTAATTCTGAGGGGGAAAAAGCACAAAGAATTGTGAGACATAAACACAGAATTGTGAGAAAAAGGTTACAATAGTTGACTAAACTAAAACCATGAAAAACTTAAACTGGAAAAAGGAAAAAAAAAAGAAAAAAAAAACATTAAAACATTATTTTAGCTAACTGCCAAGGCAACATTTTTCATTTTCATTTAGTTTAACTTGATACCAAAATGGTACACTAAAATGACTAAAACTAAAACTGAAATAAAAATGTATTAAACTGTAAAAAAAAATGACAAAAATAAAAACACCCACTATAGGGGTCAAAATAGAACTTTAATAAAATATAAAAGTAAATAAATAAATAAATTGTAATTAAACTGTATTATTTAGAAATTACAATTGTAGCTCTAGACATTTATTTATGGCTATTATTTTATTAATACAGTTGTCAGATTGATTTTATAGTCTCAAGCATTCAGAAATCACACAAAAGAAAATTGAGCAGTTTTACTACAATAAAACATTAGGGCTGGTTAAAAAATATCGATATCTTGATATTAATCGATTCTCATTTTTACAGAACGATATCGATTCTTAAATCTCAAGAATCGATTAGTCTAGCCTGTTTTCAGTTAATGGACGGAACATTGAAGAGTACTTCCCATCCAATAAATCGCAATAAGCATTGTGCTTTGATACTTTTAATATGAAACAAAGTCTCAGATTTCAAATTCTATCCATTGTATTGCAGTATTCAAACAATAAATGCAGTTTTGGCGCTGTTTAATGTGGAGTGACAGATCGCTGTAGCGCCTCAGTTCAATAAAAGCGGCAGCGCGAGGTGCACATGAACTGATCATCTCCTCCACTTTATTACTAGTTATAGCACAAAATAAACATGACTAAACATCCGAAGGTAAGTTAAAAGAAAGAGTACAACTTTACAATCCGTATCCTGTCTCATGTAATCTCTCAATCAGTGTTTCAGCCGCGCAAATACGCCAATATAACGGCTTGTAAACAATGTCACGTAACGTCACATTTACCGCAGAAAAACATATTCAGTGACCATAAATTCATTAGTCAGATAGAAAAATAAATTGTAGAGAGGGGCATTTTGCTAAATATATGCACCATATACAATGGTGTGAAAAAGTGTTGGCCCCCTTACTGATTTCTTATTTTTTTGCATGTTTGTCACACTTTAATGTTTCAGATCATCAAACAAATTTAAATATTAGTCAAAGATAACACAAGTAAATTCAGTATTATAGTAATGTAGTACCAACTGACTCTCATGTATATTTTTCAGCATTAGTTGAGAGATTTTCTTTCCTTGAGAAAATTTGACTTGTACTGTACCTGATATATATCCAAAATAATCGATATTGAATCGAATATGATCGAATTGGTAATCGAATCAAATCGCAAGCTTAGCATTTCTATGCAAAACGGTGGTCAAAAATTGAAGATTGTGGAATATTTTAATTATAAACGTTATATAAACGTTTCAAGAATGTTTATATATTGTTTTTATATACTGCCTTTTAAGTCATTTTAAAGGCTGTTGTTGGCTTAGGTCTGTTTTTATAACCACAAAAAATATTAACTTAATACTTCTTTGTAAACTGTTATTTGAAGTAACAAAACCATGGTTAATTTGTGGTTACCATGGCTACAAGGACCACGATTTTTGGTTTTATTCGTAGTAAAACCATGGCTAATTTTCGTAAGGGAACATGGAAAGTCAGAGAGAATATTAGATGCGTTGTTGGTGGTTAAATTATTACCGACATTAAAACACATTATTAGCGTCAACAGCCAAAAATTTCTGCTTTTCCAATAGCGCCACCTACTATCAAAGAGTGAATCTGCATTTTCATTCAGTCCATCTGCCATTTTTATGCATTGCTCTGAACAGAGAAATCATACATGAAAATCTGACCAAATTTTCATGCCAAAAATTTGTGTTGATTCGTGTAGCTTCCTGTAGATCTGGAAAGTATTTTGGAAACTTCCTTCTCTCCCATAAGCCAACCAATATTTTGTACACTACAAAGTGTTTGATTGGTTCATTATGTTTAACTGGTTAAATCAATTAACCAAATCTAACCGGTTTTCTCTACCACCTGATCTCAGCTCCATCTAATGCATTAGTCTGGTTTAAGAATCTGCAGCGGTGATCTAGATCTAGTTAGTACTCACAGTTGAAGTTGGGCTCGATGTTGTCTCCTGCTAACAGACTGTTGATTGTGATTTGGTAGATGATGTGCAGCAGCAGGAACGTCATACTGGTGAAGCACAGGGATTTCAGCAAGCACCCCGTGTGACCTGTTGAAAGAAAATAATTAATACAAACATTGTGCATACAATCTGTAACATATCCATGCCTAAAATAAAGTTTGAAGTATACAATACTTGATCAGCATAGAATATTGTACTGTATGTGTCTGAAACTAATTAGTTGGTCCACAGGCAACACTGGCCTGTCTTGTTGTTTCACAGTTTAAAAAGAAACGTAAAAAACAGAACAACAACAAACCTACTGGAGATGACAACAAGAATAGACGCTTGTTGATGATAGCTTGTGAAAGAGGATTAGATAAATGCAGTAAATCTGGTTTAAACATATACAAAGACATTTTTTTATTGGTCATAACTTCTGGAGAGAAACACTGCAGACAATTTATAGAAATGTGTCATTGCATCAGTGTCTCAGCTATGGATGCTCTGCAGTGAATGGGTGCCGTCAGAATGAGAGTCCATACAGCTGACAAAAACATCCATTATTAAGACATTTTTAACTTTAAGCCATTGCTTTCGAGTCAATAATCCATAATAATGCTTCCTCCAGTGAAAAAGTCCATCTCCAGTTGTCTCTCACATCCGACGGCACCCATTCACTGCAGAGGATCCCCTGCTGAGCAAGTGATGCAATGACACATTTCTCTTGGATGACCTGAGGATGATCACAAACTTTCATTTTCAGGTGAACTATTCCTTTAAGTCATAACATCAAATCCTGTTGACTGTTACAGAGGAAGAAGAACGTCTCGGTTACGTATGGTAACCCTCGTTCCCTGAAGGAGGGAACGGAGACGTCACGTCGGATGACCGACGAATTGGGATCTTGCTTTGGATCCTCACAAAGGGCCACGGGTACTGCCCCTTCCAGTGTCCTGTGGAAGCCACCTGCGCCCCTACTTTTTGGCGTAGGCCAGGGCTTGCACAAGAGGACCAGCTACTGCTGCTATGGCACTACCCAATGAGTAAGACTGGATAACACTGGGAAAACGTACCCATTCTACTTGGAACCGGGACGCTACGGAAGCTTCAACCTTCCCGAAGGAGGTTCAGAAGCAAATACACATATGAACATTCCTTAGGTGCATATGGAAGAGCATTGCAACCGACCGCTCCACCGGGGGGACCCTTGTAACCCTCTAGCTGCACCACCATCGAGGATGGTGAGGGAGGAGGAACCAGCAGATCGGTCTCCGGCAGTAAAAGGTGCCGTCCACGACCTGGTGAGCTCCTCATGCACCTCCGGGAAGAAAGGCACCGAGACGGGGCGCTGAGAACCAGCGCGGACCACCCCGAGAACCAATCGTGCAACCTTGAGGGCTCGGGACACGGTGGAAGTCAACGAAACTCCACCCCTTTGAGGAAACGGAGCTTGGCCCGCGACTCCGAGATTAACATCTTCCCGCAATGATAACATGACTCATCCACAAACGCCACCTCAGCGTGCTAGATGCCCAGGCATGTGAGGCAGCGATCGTGACCATCACCCAGCGCCAGGTAACGACCGCATCCAGAAACGCCCAGGTGATACGTTGTCTATAGCAAGACCCACATCGTCTTTACAAAGATGAAACGTCAAGTTTGCCACGCAACGTCCTCTTTAAAAAGACGCACCCGAAATTGCTCTTTTATGGAAAAAGCTCTTTTAGCGTGCTGAGGCGCACAGGGGAGATGATCCTCCACGTGTCATGGTGAAAGTTCATCAAGTTGAACCTGTCCTTCTGCTCTTAATAGAAAAGAGCTGCCGTAATCCACTGCTATTAGCGGAAATTCAGCCTTGTATTACAGCTCTCTCCGTTTCTCTCTCGCTCTGGGCATTCATTTAGCGCTGATAGTTTTGGCAGTGTTTGGGCTGTTCATCATTTAGGATCACGAGGCTCAGTGTGAGTTCAGAAAAATCTAAATGAAACAACGCTGTGAGTAATGCACGTTACAGGCCATAAAGGGGTCAAAAAGAGATTTGATTTGTGCATTTAAACATTTTTTATGAAAGAAGAGAAGGGTTTGGGTTGGGTGGGAGTTGGTCCGCTATCAAAGGATCCTGGGAATAGCACAGATAGCATCAAACATGAATTTTAGGATATTAAAAAACACCCACAACCCATCCGGCCCGAATGAGGACATGACATCATATGCAAATCAACAAGTGCTTAATTTAATTGTCAATTCGGGACAGATCATATCACAAATTAAAGAATTCTAAAAGTATCTGTAAGAAAGCGGGATGAAATTTCACCCTACTTTAGGGTTTGCATGGGCAAAAATGCTAAGAACTGTGTTTGTATTTGATTTATGAAGGCTTTGGAACCAATAAATGGTGGTCAAGGAAGTGGCTGAGGTAGAAAACGAGGTCTGAAACATTACAAATATAAGTATGCATACTATTAGTGAGTCTAAAATCACAGTCAAACGTGGGCTTGTAAGCGCAAGAGTCTATTTTGATTAAATGCAGGCCTCATTAATTCACAAGAGCACATTTACAGTCATATTCAAAATATCAGAGGTAATGAGAGCGGATCGTTTGGTTCCCTGTGGATTTTGATGAAATATTATGTATCAGTCCTCAGACACGGCTGTTTCCGTAGCACACCGTAACTCAATTTCTTAAAACATTAGGAAGCACAACCAAGGCTAAAAGCTTCCTCATTATAGAATTATAAAACTTTTAGAAAGAACTAGAAAAAAGTGATTTTGTTGGACGTTTTTTTGTCTAATTATCCACTAGTTTTATGGCATTTATATATGATTGTTGATGCAATCTATGTGATAGTGTCCTAAAAGTTAACAAAATAAACCTGTAGATACTTACACTACTGATCATAATTTAGTCAGTAGCATTTTTGTTGTTGTTGTTGTTGATAAATTAATACTTTTAATCAAAGATGCATTAAATTGGTCAAAAGTGACAGGGAAGACATTTCTAATGTTCCAAAATATTTCTATTTCAAATAAATGCTGCTCTTCTGAACTTTCTAATCATCTGTGAATCCGGAAAAATAAAATGTATCACAGTTTCCACAAAAATATTGTGCAGTTTTCAACATTGATGATAATCAGAAATGTTTGTAGAGCAGCAAATCAGCATATTAGAATGATTTCTGAAGATCATGTGACACTGAAGACTGGAGTAATGATGCTGAAAATACAGCTGCGCATCACAGAAATACATTACAGTTTAACACATATTCACATAGAAAACAGCTATTTAAAATTTTAATAATATTTCATAGTTTTACTGCATTTATGATTAAATAAATGCAGCCTGGGTGAGCAGGAGAGACTTTTTTCAAATGCATTAACTGACTACAGTCTTAAGTGCAAATTTAAAATATTAATTCCTTCCCTTCCAGGAAAGTTAACCAGAAACATTATCTCATATTTTTTATATAGCCTATGTAGCTGTATTGTAAGCAAAAGGCTATTGAATATTTACATCAATACAGGAAAGCAATTGTGTTGATCAAACCATTTTATGGGGTTTTAAAACGAATAAAAAATGATTGAACAAACATATCTGTGACAATCAAGTTTAGGCTAAATACCGTGCAGAAAGCAGACTGATGTTTTCACAAACATTCATTTTTGGAGCATCAATGTATTAACACCTACCAATAATAATGTCTAAAGCACCTGAGGAATCGGAAATCGCTGTCTGCCAAGATTTTACCATCTTTACAATGGTTTACGGTTATGAAAATGTTTTACAGGTCTGCTCATGCCATCGGTTTTACTGTTTACTGTAATTAGAAAACGCTCTCTTCAACAGCAGCAAATCAACAGTACGTCAAAGGCTTTTTCTTTTGACTAAGTGCATAGAGTGATGAAAAAATGCATTAGTCAATCGTTCGGTGGATGGAATATGTGCCGGTGACGACTGTGAGCAAATAGAGAGCGCGGATCCGTCGCACCATGTACTGAAGCCATTATGAGGTGCAGCAGGAATTTGAGTGACTTTGAGCTCCTCCGCGGCAGAAAGAAGAAACCGGCACAGGACGAGCAAATATAGACCAGATGTGTTTGTTATTTAGTGGCGGAGGACTAAAGGCCGTGGTTTCTCATTATTCTGTTCCCCGATGAGCCATTGCATCCATTTCAGGCGACTGAACGAGTCGCAGTGTTTGTGTGCGGTGTGTAATAGTGAAAATGTGTGCATCTTCATTGTCTGAGAGCTCCAGAAAAATGGGCCGGACTTGTAATCGTATTCAATATTGCCAAATTGAAAGCTGCAGATGGTTTGGACCATCAAAAATCCCCTTGGCTCCTCTGGACAGAGATATTGGTGTTGCAAGTTGGCTTGTTTTTTGTAAACGTAAGATGGGAAGGGTTATAAAAGGACTATCTGTGGATATCAGCATTGATCGATTGACCGCAACGTACAGACAATGCAGCAGCACTGACGACAGCAGAACCTCAGTCGATACCATCAGATCTCCAAAAGCTTTTAGGGACTTAAAAGCAAAATCTGAGATTCACAATTGACAGCAATGTGCAGGACAGAGTCTAATTTAATCACACAGGCTATAAAATGTTAACTCTTATGGGAATGTCTCTCCTCTCATAATTGACATAATTGATTTGAATCAATTCATTCTTGCACTACAACCACTTTAAGCCAGAGAGCAACTACTATATGCACAGTACATACACTTCGTTCAAAAACTTGGGATTGGTACGAATTTGTAGTGTTTTTGAAAAAAAAAAAAGTCTCTTAATTATTACAAAAAATTACAAATTATTACAATTGAAAACAGTTGTTTTCTATGTCAATATGTGTTAAACTGTAATTTATTTCTGTGATGCGCAGCTGTATTTTCAGCATCATTACTCCAGTCTTCAGTGTCACATGATCTTCAGAAATCATTCTAATATGCTGATTTGCTGCTCAAGAAACATTTCTGATTATTATCAATGTTGAACACAGTTGTGCTGCACAATATTTTTATGGAAACCGTGATGCATTTTATTTTTCAGGATTCACAGATGAATAGAAAGTTCGTAAGAACAGCATTTACTTGAAATAGAAATCT